CGGTTTGGCTCCTGCAGAAATTAGTCTGCTCTGGAGCCATCCTCCCTGAGCTAAGATGAAAATGTGTGAGCTGGAGGCTAAAAAACTGTGAGCTAGCTCACACTAACTCAGCTTAGAGGGAACACTGCTCTGGAGCCCTCCTTCCTGAGCCAAGGGGAAAATGTGTGAGCTGGAGGCTAAAAAACTGTGAGCTAGCTCACACTCACTCAGCTTAGAGGGAACACTGGAGAGGAGCTAGCAGCCTCCTTGCAAGGGGGGTGTGTGTGCAGAGAGCCCGCAGGGCCGGCCGCTTTCCCAGGTGCTTTCTCATAAGGCAGCCCGCCAGCCGCAACGGCGGCGGCGGTAGCAGCAGCAGCAGCAGCAGCACGCAGCGGCAGGCGGGAGGCAGGCGGCGTCCTCGAAGGCTCCCGCTGGATGGATGCCTGCCTGCCTGCCTGCCTGCCTGCCTGCCTGCCTGGCCGCCTCCTCCTCCTCCTCCTCCTCCGGCATGCCCCAGGGGCTCCCGAGCTCCTGCCTGCCGCGGACGGGACCGAGGGGGAGCTGAAGGATGGACATGGACTTCCAGGCGAACCGCACCCTCGGCAGGAACGACTGCGCCCCGGACCTCCCCCCGGCAGAGCGAAACTTTTCCCACCACCACGGTGAGTGAGTGAGCGGGGCAGGGAGGCAATCAGGGGGTGCAGGGAACGGGACGGTGCCTGGTAGGGTGGAGAGATGGGCTCTGCTGCCCCAAACAGGCATCTGTAAAGAAAGCTGGGGAGGGCTGCCGGAAGCCCGCGGACCTGTCCTGGGTTCAAATCTCTCCTTACTCAGCCGCCCCCACCACGACCCTGCGCTGGTTGCTCTCTCTCAGGCCAGCCTACCTCACAGGGTTGTTCTGAGGGTTAGATGGAAGGTTGAGCTCTTTTGTGGGAAGAACAGAATGGAAAATGTGGCAGAGGGTGGCAGTGTGCAGAGGGATTTGGGCTCCTTTCTGTGCCTTTGGCCACCCTAAGAGAAGAGCTCTGTTTTCTGTATCGATCTCAGAATAGCAGCCATTCCAGATGCTTTTCCGTTTCAGGTAGAGCCCACGGCCATCAGACAATTTATGCAGAGTAGTTTTGCTACATTTTGTGTGCCTTTAGATGCACCGCTTGCCCTCTCCAAATGAATCACGGACAACAATTAGCAAATGTACAAAAATACATGGGTACATCTAAGAAAGAATTTTTGAGTGAATAATGTGTGGGCAAATTCCCACAGCTGTATGATGTGAAAGCAATATAGGTGTGCAAGCCTCTGTGTATGCACAATGTGTGCCCTGCTGAATCGATCTCTGTTGGTTTCCCCATGCACATCAGCACATTTATACCATGCCTGAAATGCATGCTTTAACATTACCCCTGTGCTGTTTTCTTAGCAATGTCTCAAAGCCCTAAGGGCGTGCTACGTGCTCCTTCTCTCTCCCCCAAGCACCTTGCACAGAGTCTCTAGCTATACAGCGGTCGCACGAGCATTCCTGCGCCTTATACTGCCCCCAAATTAAGAGCGCATGAATCAGGTTGCGCTTCTCTCAGGCTCCTTCAACAAGGAGCATGAGGGCAAACAGGGGTAGAGGCACGGCTTGCTCGTATACCAGGTGTGCGGGAAGAAGCACCCTCTGTCCCAAGGGAGAAGGTCTTAGCACTAATTTTGCCTTGAAGGGAATGGGCTGCCAAAGTGTTTGCCCAAGGTAACATATCCTCAGATTTAAACAAGCTCATCAGAGCTGCAAAAGATTGTGTATGGCCCAGACCTGGATAGCAGGCTGGAGATCAGCTGGAATTCCTGGAGAGCTCCAGGCCCCACCTGATATCCTCAGATTTAAACAAGCTCATCAGAGCTGCAAAAGATTGTGTATGGCCCAGACCTGGATAGCAGGCTGGAGATCAGCTAGAATTCCTGGAGAGCTCCAGGCCCTACCTGGGGGTTGGCAACCCAACTGTGGTCACCTTCAGTCTTGCTGTCTTTCCCGCCAGCTGACTGCCGTTGTCAGATTCCACTAACCCAGAGGGATTCTCTCTCTGGTGTCTCTTTGGCAGGAGAGCTGAGCCCGGTGAGCTATTCCACCTTCATCATGCCGACCCTCTTCGGCATCATCTGCCTGCTGGGCATCGTTGGCAACGGCCTGGTGATCTGCACCGTCTTTAAGAAATCCAGCCCCAGCAGCAGCGTCCCGGACATCTTCATCATCAACCTTTCGATGGTGGACTTGCTCTTCCTCCTCGGCATGCCCTTCCTGATTCACCAGCTGCTGGGCAACGGAGCCTGGCACTTTGGCGAGACCATGTGCACCCTCATCACCGCCCTGGATGCCAACAGCCAGTTCACCAGCACCTACATCCTGACGGCCATGTCCATTGACCGCTACCTGGCCACCGTCTACCCGTTTACCTCCGCCCGCTTCCGGAAGCCCACGACCGCCGCCCTGACCATCTGCGTGCTCTGGGCTCTCTCCTTCCTCAGCATCACCCCCGTGTGGATGTACACGCAGCTCATTCCCTTGCCCGGCGGGCTTCTGGGTTGCGGGATTCAGCTACCGGACCCCCAGCGAGACATCTACTGGTACACCCTCTACCAGTTCTTCCTGGCTTTCGCCCTCCCTTTCGCCATCATCACCGCGGCCTACCGACGGATCCTGCTCCGGATGGCCCGATCCTCCCAGGCGCTGACCGGCCAGAGAGGCACGAGGCTCCGGACGAAGCGAGTCACCCGCATCGCCATCGCCATCTGCTTGGCGTTTTTTGTGTGCTGGGCCCCCTTCCACGTGCTGCAGCTGGTGCAGCTGGCCATCCATCGGCCCACCCTGCCATTCTACTATGCCTACAACGTGGCCATCAGCATGGGCTACGCCAACAGCTGCCTGAACCCTTTCATTTACATCTTGCTGGGGCAGAACGTCCGCAGGAGGATCGTGGTCTCCGTGCGGCCCGCGGCTTTTGGAGAGGACACCTCTCACAACCGCCTCAAGAGTGCACAGGGAGAAGGCAGCGACTTTGGGCAGCCGCTGCTGCACTTGGTCTCCGTCTCGGCCAGGTAGAGACGGAGGGGCTGTGGCTCAGGGGCAGAGCATCTGCCCGGCATGCTGAAGGGCCCAGGTTCGATCCCCATCATCTCATAAGAACATAAGAGATGCCAGTGTTGGATCAGGCCAAAGGCCCATCCAGTCCAACACTCTGTATCACACAGTGGCCAGAAATACCAGTGCCATCAGGAGGTCCACCAGTGGGGCCAGGACATTCACCAGTGCGGCCAGGACATTAGAAGCCCTCCCACTGTTGACCCCCGCAAGCACCAAGAAGACAGAGCATCACTTGCTCCAGAGCCCCTATCTATACCTTGTGGCTAATAGCCACTGATGGACCAGGGCACAGCTGGTGTGAAAGACCTCAGCCTGAAGCCCTGGAGAGCCACGACCGGTCAGAGTAGGCAATCCTGACCTCGATGGACTGAGGATTTGATTCAGGATCAGGTGGCTTCATGTGTCCAGGTTGATGCAGCTTCACATCCATGGTCCATTGACCTATCTGCTTTCAATTTTTATCTCCCAGAGATCCTCCTCTGTGTGGTTGGAAAGTTGTGGGCTTCAGAGGGGGAGGGGTGATCTCAACCCCTGTGGCCCCCTGTCCTCTTGCTGATGGAGTGGGCGGGGGGGGGGAAACAAAGGGTATGAGAAAATCAAAATAAATGAGCAGGAGATGGCCAGGACACAAGAGAAATCCTGCTGGATCAGACCAGTGGGCCATCTATCCCAGAATCTTGTTCCACACAAAAAGGGTCAATCGGCTGCCCTGGAGGACCAAGTAACAGGGCACAGAGGCCAAGGCCTTCCCTGATGTAGCTTCCTAGCACTGGTATTTGGAGGTTTACAGCCTTTGGACCTAGGCACCTGGGCTACTAGCTGGACCTCCCCCTCCATATATCAGTCTAATCCCCTTTTAAAGTCATCTGTACTCACGACGTATTCGTGTCTCTCCTAGTAAAAAGTCCACAGTTTAGTAGCTCACTGGTTGCAGAAGGAATTTCCTTTGCTCCATCCTGAATCTGTTGCCCATCAACTTCCCTGGGTGCCCCTGAGTTCTAGTATTATGGAGAGGCAGGGGAAGTTCTCTCTAACCACTTTCACACACACCCCATGCCCCCAATTTTTAGTGTTATAGACGTGGGACTTTGTGTTTATTTATTAGTAAATAAGGATTCAGACAGTGCTGGTTCTTCGGCTTGGAAACACTGCACTGCACCCCTAGAGTCAGATCTGACTGGCTTTTGAGCAAGGGAAACCTTTACCTTTAAGGCTAGTAATGCTCCTCTATGCCAAATGATTACCTACAATCTGTGTGTTTTAAAAGAGAACACAAGCCTACAGCCGGAGCCAGTATTCTTCATAAAACATGTGAACTCAGTCATCGTCTGATATATGATACAGAAAGACCATTCAGGCATGGCATCTCACAAGACTGCAAGTTCTGACACCATTTCCAACCTTGCCCTCTTATTCTTAAACGAGTCTGATCCTTAAGCATCGATCGCTTCACAAAAGAAGCTTCAAGCTGCTTGTATTTCTCGCAGCTGAAATTGCCAGCTCTCATCTACTAAAAGATCACAGGCACGGCTGCAGTGCTCCTTAAATGTGTGGGGGGAAATTAAGATGGTTAGACAGCCTGATAGAGAAAAACAATTCGGAGACTCCCGTTAAATGGTATTTAACTGTTGAAATATCTGTATACAATGCAGTGAAACCTGATGCGTAAACCGTTTACTTTTATTAAGTGTTTGGGTTCTCCTACTTTGAACCACCGGTTATATGTGATGTACTGCAGTGCCGTCTTGAATAAAAAGGATGCTTTAACACTCCAGCAAGCCAACCTGTTCTTCATCTTATACCCTAGGCTTCTCTGACCTTGCAAAGGATCATTCTTCCTCGCAGAACGTAAAGGTTCCAAGTCAGTGTTCTTTTTGTTTCTCTATAATGCTTGAAATTTCAGTTGTATATAAAGAAAGGAAAAGGACTGATTCCTATATGGAAAATGACCAGAGCAATGATTGTGGGTTGAAATTCAGCAGGGTAGAGTAGTCCCAGATGGAGAACTGCGTGTGACTGCAAAAACAGGAGTCCACTGGCACCTTAAAGGGCTTTATTCCAGCTGAAGCTTCTGTGGGTCAGAGCCCCCTTCACCAGATCACACACATGAAGCCACCTGATAGTGAATCACTCCATTGGTCCATCAAGGTCCGTATTGACTACTCCAGGGGTTCATAACCTTTTGAGGAAGAGGAAGAGTTGGTTTTTCTACCCCGCTCTTCACTACCCAAAGGAGTCTCTGAGCGGCTTACAATCGCCTTCCCTTCCCCTCCCCACAACAGACACCCGGTGAGGTAGGTGGGGCTGAGAGAGCCCTGAGAGAACTTGACCCAAGGACACCCATCCGGCTTCAGGTGAAGGAGTGGGGAATCAAACCTGGTCCTCCAGATCAGAGTCCACTGCTCTTAACTGCTACACCAAGCTGGCTTTGAATTCTGAAAACCAGCTGGTGGGCACAACCACAAAAATAGCTGGCACAGGGGGGTAGAGCCAACCACAAAATGGAAGTGAGTGAGGCCGTGCATAACTCTAATAGTAATTCCTCAACATTTCAGGTTGAAGCTCTGTTTTAACAGGATGCCTTTAAATCTATACACAGCCAATCAGGTCCTCAGTGGCCGGTCAGAACCCCTGCCTGACAAAAGCCCCACTTGACCACTTTCTAAAAACATTTGTGGACGCCAAGCTGGGGATTCCTGCTTTACTCCAACTGGCAGAGACTCTCCAGGGGTTTATGTAGCAGTCTTTCACATTACCAACTGTTACGTATGGGGTTATCTGGTTTCTTTGTAAAGTGTGAGCTTCAGTCACAAGCTCCATAGACTGTCAGCATTCTAAACGAAGCAACCGGATTGGTCACTGTTGCTAACAGACCAACCTGGATAGACTCTGACTTTCAGCGGGAACAATTCCCATTGGACCCAAGCACTCATCTTTAATTGGTTGTTATTGTTCCAGGGGGTGTGGTTTTCCTGGTTCAAACTGTATATAGTTGGGTCGTTCTGTATGTTGTTTGTCTGTGTTCTGAGCCAATAAAGAAAATACTTGTTTGAAACGCTGCCTTGATCTCAGTACATAATACCAACTATAAGTTCCTTTTAACTGGAGATGCCAGAGATTGAACCTGCAATTTTCTGCATGCCAAGTAGAAGTTCCAACACTGAGTCACAGCCCCTCCACAAAGCTCAGACTGAAATATCCTGGCCCCAAAATTCTGTTAGTCTCCTGTTTCATTTCCCTTATGTATAATAGGAGATTAACAAAGACCATTCAACATGCTTGTTAATTGCTTAAGTTGGTGGTACCCTGGTAAGAGTTGTGCTACACTGTGGCCCTAAAGTGTGTGTGTGTGGGGGGGGGGGACTAATAGAGGTGTAATTCCTTAGAAGGAGGTCTCAGTTCCCATGCAGCCCTTCCCGGAACCTCAGAGTACGGAAATTAGTATATAGGAAGAACTGCAAGATGAGGACGTGCCCCTTGTTCTCCAGTTTGATTTGGGAAATCCATTGATGGCTGCCTGCTGGATGGGGCCAGCCCGAATATAGTGGGGCGAGACCAGCCCCAATGCTGTACATGCTGTACAAATTAACAGAATGGGAGGAGGGGAGAATCAAGCGCAGGGATGCCAGCTTCCAGGAAAGACTGTCTAGGGCAGTGATGGCGAACCTTTTAGAGACCGAGTGCCCAAACTGCGACCCAAAACCCACTTATTGATCGCAAAGTGCCAACACGGCAATTTAACCTGAATACTGAGGTTTTACTTTAGAAAAAACAACTCATACATTAACTTAAGATGATCCAAACAAAGTAAGGAAAGCAATCCCAAATGCTTTCATTTACTTAAAATTATTTGGCAGAGAATTCTGACACTTTGATGATGGTCTGGGCCTGGCTCTGAGTGCCACCTCTGGCACCCGTGCCATAGGTTCACCACCACTGGTCTAGGGGATCCCCTAGAATTACAGCCCATCTCCAGACTACAGAGATCAGCTCCCCTAGGGGAAATAGATACTTTGGAGGGCAGACTTGAAGGTATTGTACCCCACTGAGGTCTCTGTCCTCCCCGGGCTCCACCCCCAAATCTTCAGGAGTTTCCGAACCTGGATCTGGCAACCCTACCGCCATCTCTTACGGTTGCCAGCCTCCAGGTGGGGCCTGGAGATATCCCGCTTTTACAACTGATCTCCAGCTGACAGAGCTGCTTTGAACAATGGACTCTGTGGCATGGTACCCTGCTGAGGCCCCTCCCCTCCCCAAACCCCGCCCTCTCCCAGATCCACCCCCAAAGTCTCCAGGTATTTTCCAACCCAGACTTGGCAACCCTACCATCCCCTGCTGGTGGCCAGGGGGGACCTGGCTACCCCGAACAGGTGGCATCACCCCTGCCTCCCTCCTGCACAAATGGAAACTGGACTTCATCACCCTTCCTTCATCAGCTGTCAGATTTTGCCTGCCTCCCCTGTCACCAACGCTCCACGTCCCATTTTGTGAATAAAAAGTCCACCAACGTTAGGCGGTGGGTGCTAGGAAAGGCCATGCACCACCTCCATGCACGCTTTCCACTTGTGCTACTGTGCCACCAAGCCCAGTGGATTTGTAACACACTCTCTCATGTACCTCATACATATGCTCCCTCTTACCTAATGGGAAGATTTTCTCCCCTATCATTAACGATGCATTATAAACTTGACTATTAGCAGCACACGTTTTAACAACTAGAAATGCAATATTACTATTATTATTATTATTAAAGTGGCCATTTAAATCTGGAATGCCTCTTGCCATCAAGGCAGGAGGGGGCCATGTATAACCAAGAAGCTGGAGGAGATGCCTCACTGAAAAGTACGCAGACAGAGAGTGATTTCAGCAAAGCGTACTTTATTCTATCAGGAACAAGACGACTTTGGCTGGCTTATATTCCCCGAGAAACCGCCACCCAAAACACCCACCCACTTCCC